TAAATAAAAAGGATTGGGGATATAACTCAGCACAAAGGCCTTGGTCCTAAGAACAAACAGAAAAACCTTTCTTTCCTGGGTTAACTGATGAGCCAGACTTGGCTGTTTTTGTGGGTGTGGGAGTAGAAGGAGTATGGATGACCTGGTCTTATTTTAACTAAATGGGATATAAAAGGAAGTGAGCAAGCACCAAAAAGGAAACTATAGGTTCAATTGCCAGAAACAGGGAAGTTGAAAAAGTCTACAAAAATAAAGAGGTACTGGGATGTGGCTCAGTGGTAGAATACATGCTTAGCATACACAAAGACCTGAGTTCAGTCTCCACTGCTGCAAAAGCAAAATAAAATAAACTGTGATTTAAAAAAATTTTTGGTTGAGTGGAACAAGATGAATTCTAATAGCTGCTTAGGAAAAGCTTCAGAAAGGAGGTAATATTTTAATTGGGCCCTGAAAGAGAAGTAGAGTTTATCCAAGGCAGAGAATGTGTAAAGAAAGGAGTCACTTATTTGAGAAGTTTGGCGGTGAAGGAAGAAAATTAAAATGGAAACCACTAGAATCTAAAGGAGAATGTTAAAGATTTTTTTCCCTCATGTGGAGAAAACTAGCATTATTATGACAAAGGACTGGAATAAAGGAAAGGAAAAATTTAACAGTGCTGGGAAGGCAGTCACTAATAAGGAAGTAGAGTCCAGTGGGTTAAGGATATATGTGGAGGAGATAAACTTAGAAAGGAAAACCAGTCATTCTCTGAGGACAAGAGAAAGAAAATGGTAATGGTGGCAGAAATGGAAACAAAGGAATTTGTTGTTTAATAGGATTTTCCCTTTTGTTTTCGAAAATGAATTATAGGGCTGGGGACGTAGCTCCTTTTTTCCATCTCTAGTGCTACAGAAAAAAAATTAAATTTAAAAAGTGAATAAGAAAAAGGTTTTCAGTCATCTGTTGTCTTGCAACAAATCATTATGAAATGATTGTGTATATGAACAATTTAGCCTGAGTTCAACTGGGTGATTTCTTCTGCTGACCTTGCTTTGGGTCGGTCAGTCTTGAGGCTGATGTCATCTGGAGTGTGTTTGGATAGTCTAGGATGGTAGCTTTTATGACATATCTAGTGATTGCTGCTGGCTCTTGGCTGCATTTCTCTTTCCTAATTTTCTCATTCTCAGCATTCATTTACATGGCAGCTGGGGTAGTTAGGTATCTTATGATTTAGTCTTGGGACTTGTTACTTCTTCCACAATCCATTAGTTAAAGCAAGTTCTAAACTCTGCTCAAATAAAAAGAACAGAGAATTAGACCCTTATTTATTAGAGGGGGCAATACAATCATATTATAAAGGAGAGTGTATATATATATATATATATTCAAGTAGGAATTTGTGCCCATTTCCCCCCTCAGCATTTTATTGTAAATGTTTTCAGTCATGATAGTGCAGTTAAAATAATTTTATAGTAGAATACATCCATATTCCTACCCTTTAGATTCTATTACATTTTATCCAGTTATCTTCCCTGTGTTTATTAATTAATCTTTTTTATGCCCTTCAGAGTAAATTGTAGACATCAATGCTTTCCTCTAAGTGCTTTGTGCATATTTAATAAGAATTCATATTTGTCTGCAATTTTTTCTCTACATAAAGTGTATATACAACGAAGCATACAAATTTTAAGTGCATCCATATTTTGCTGTCCTACTACAGAAGGGAATATTTTGGAATAGCTTTTCAGTCAAATGCCTCAGAAATTAGACTATAGTTGTATGAAAGAATTGCAAAGAAATTCTTCAAGGATATTTATGTCCTTATCACTTATCACCTAGATTTTCATTTTTATTAATTTGAATTTACTTTAGGTTTTCCCTACTTCCTTTCACTAGGCATTTATTGAACATATACTGTAGACAAGCATGATATTTACAAAAACAGAAACAAAACCCTTGAGATAGGGCTGGGGATTTAGCTCAGTGGTTCCGGCGCCTGCCTCGCAAGTGCAAGGTCTGGAGCTTGATCCCTGGTACCAAAACACACACACACACAC